TTTCTACTTTCTTTTCTTTGGGAGGATTGTGATAAAGGTCATAACATTCTCGGCAAGTTTTAATTGGTTCAGAATTACAAACCTCTACTGTATTAGCCAATTTGGTTATTGGTTTTTCTTGGCTACAATTGGAGCAAGTAAAAGTTTTATCCATATACTAAATTTTAAAAAATTACCAACTAAATTATCCTCAAATTTGGTTAAAAAACCGGGCAAAAATAAGGGGTATTTTTCACTCCAAGTCTCGCAAAAACACGAAGAATACTCAAAAAAAGTGAGGGGGTGCTGAGTTAAAAATACTAAAATTATAATATAGAGAATGGAGATATAAGAAATAGAGGAGTTGAAAGATAAAAATATATTAAAATACTAAAATTATAAAATAAAATAAAAAGGAACGACATGAAAGTAAAAATAGTAAATAAAAAAAATGGATATTGAGTGGGGTTTGGTGATTTAAGCCAAGAACAAATAAAAAAAAAATTAAAAAATTGAAATTGTCCGATGGAACTTATCAAATAGAGGGTTTCGACAGTTGTGTCGGAATTTGAACTGATAACGAAGGAAAAATCTGAACCGAAAAAAGTCGCTGGTTTGCTGATTTCACGGTTGCTTATCAACAGGGCAAGATTAGAAAAGAATTAGCAATTTGAGATTGTAAAAATAGTTGGAATATTTGATTAGTCGAACAAAAGAGCAAGAAATTATTTTTACATGTTAAATATAAGCAATATGAATATTGAATTTATGAGGATTAATTGCGTGGGGGTTTGGGTCGTTCCTTCCCCCTAAAAAAAAGGAATAATAGGAATAATAAATAAAGTATAAAAATATGTCAAAAGTAAATATTAAAGAAAGCAAAAATAATAGTCAACAAATAATAAACTTAACTCTCCTTTTAAAAGAAAAAAGAGCAAGAGGTTCGAATTGCTAAACAAAAAGCAGGGTTTTTTGCTCGCAAGCATGCTGAATTAGCCAAGTCAAAAAATACTGCTAATCAAAAAAGTTTAAAAAAATAGGGAATGCCAAGAAAGCCAATCCCCGAAGAATTATTAACTCCTCAAGCCATTTATTATCGAAAGAATAAAAAAAAAATATCGGCGATATAATAAACTCTACTATCTTAAAAAAATAATGGCAGATCCAAACTATAACAAAAAAAATAATCAGAAAAAGAAACCTAAAATAAAGACTATATAAATATATACTCGTAAATATTATAGATATAATATATTTAAAGTATATAAATGTTTTTAAATATCTCCATCCTTAATTGTTTGTTATAAGGTTAATCCCCTACTTTATAAAGTCATTTTTGTTCCGATTTCTCCAAGCCTCTGCCCTTTGGAATCTTTCCCTAATAGATTTTGCCTGGGACTTGTTTTTTTCGGCTCATTCTTTTGCTCCCCCTTTGGCTCAGGCTTTTTTAATTCCGCCATTTTTTTCAATCATTCTCCATGGTTAGTCCCTCCTCCTTTCTCTCATTTCGCATGTTCCTTTTCTAAATATCTATCAAGCATTTCATTATTGGCACGATGTTCGGCTCGTTGCTCAGGGGTCATAGTTTTAGTTGCTTGCTTGCTTTCTCTTTCTTTAATGGCCTCGGGTGACTGTGTCTTTTCTTTCTTTCAAGTCTCTAATTTCTTTTCTTTTTCAGTCTTTTCTCTCCTCCCTCTCCTTTCGGGTTTACCAAAAAAATCACCAATACTCTCATCCTCATCGGCTGAGTCCCCTTTCCCTCCTGGAATTGGTTCAGTTATTTTGGCTGGTTCGGTTTTATATCCTCCTCATTTTTGGTTTCCTCCTCCTCCCATCACGGTTTATATCTTTTATAATTAATTTTTTTAGGTAAAAATGGCATATTAAAGTAAACTAATAAATTGCTCTTTCCTACTTCTCGGTCATCAATTTCCGCCGGTAATTCGGTGATGCTGGAAATTTGGTCATATAAAGTGCGATAATGCCGATAAAGGTTAATATAAACTCAACTACGATAACATTTCACTACAATCGGAATTCCTCGCTTACCAAACACTTCTCATATTTTCTTAAATCAGGTGGTTCCAGTTAGTTTTTCCCCTCTTTTTAATTCATAATTTTTAAAATAAGTCGGTAAAAAGGTAATAACTAGGGCGGTCGGCAAATAATGGTTCTTTTTTCAATTCTCGGCAGTTTCAGCGGCAAAATTATAATCTTTATATTCCTCATCCTCCCCGCAATAATGGTCATTGGTGTTATAACCAAGGTCTCCTCAAGTGTAAATGGCTTGCCCTCGTTCACTCGGAATTGCCACAATTTCCCCTTGCTCGGGTTTTATAAATCACTTTAATTCTTCATAAATAAAAGTGCTTAATTCATCAGTATAATCATAATAATATCAATAATAAGGCTTTTGCTCATCTTTATCCTTCAAAATTAGGTGGTGTTGGTGAAAAGTGAATTTCCAAGGTCTTTTTTTATGCTGGTTGTTAAAAAAGTAGAAGATTTTCGACAGTCCATATTTTAGCACATAGTCTTTTTTCTCTTCATCTCACACCGCTCGTCCTCGGTCTTCATCCTCTCATGCTTGAATAATTCCTTCAATATTATGGTCAGTTTCCAGTCTCGCGGTTATTACCTTATTGCCTAACTTTTCAATGGTTAAATTAGCATTATTGTGCTTATATTTTCATTGAAAGGAATTTTTGCTGATTAGCTCTAACTCTTTTTTACTCTTTTCTTCATCTAAAAGATAACATTTTCCGGTCTTTTCGCTGAAAACATAATACTTGGTGGTCATATAGTTTATAGTTTTATTATTTTATATACTTTAATATATTAAATCTTATAATATTTACAAGTATATATTTAACATTCATGTTTTAAGTTAGAAAGATTGTTAAAATGGTGGAAGTGATGGGATTGAACCCATGTCCTTAAAAGTTTGATAATTATTTTCTACAACCATAGCCTTTTTAATTTCGTTAAGTTGGTATGGTAAAAAGGCCAACATCCACAAAACCTTAACTAGTTTGCTTCTTATTATGAAAAATATTTCCATTAACCCAACTACATAAACAAACCAAGTTTCATTAGGTTAAATCGCCTAATTATTACGAACTGCTTTAAGCGGGAAAACAGTAAGAACTAGAACTGTTTATATGCCGTTGTTCACTTCAACGATTTCTCGTTCGGACATGTATACGGCAATTAGACTAAACGGTTGCGTAGTTAGTGTTCCCTAGACTACCAAGTAGTTCATAAGGAACATTGGAACTTTCGTTCACAGAGTTGTCTGCACTTTTACGAATTATGGCTCGTAAAACCATATCAATTAAGGCTGATAAACCTAGTTGCGATAATTATCTTCTCATTCAAGTCAAAACTCTCACTCCCATAAGTTATTTTATTCTCTTTTTAATTATTTTTCTTTTATATTTCTTTTTATATCGTAGATCCTATCTACCGATTTTTATTATATTATTATTAATTCTTTATTTAACATGAATAAAGAATGTTAAAATATAATATATAACAATAGAGACTATGGTAAATAAGGAGGGAAGACAATCAAATACAAGAACTAAATATGATGCTTTAAGTATCGCCAAATATTTACTTTCATTAGATGAGAAGAGGGAATATTTTAGTAATAAAAGAACCAAAAACAAAATTACTTCTACAACCATTACTATCGGCAATTTTCGCTTAAATCAAATGCTTTACTTCATCCAAATACTCTATTACTTAAAATATGAAAAAGTGTTGTTTGAGGATAAATTTTATGCTTGAGAAAGCGGAATGGTAATTTATAGTGTTTATACCCATTTTTCGAGTCTATATTATAATGCAAATGGTAAAAATATAAAAGAAATTAAAGATGAGGAGATCAAGGAATTTATCACTAAATGCTTTAATTATTTAAAAACTACTTCTGACCGAACTCTCCAAGAATTTGCTTTTACTGACCCAATTTGGACTTCCACTTGAGGGAGAAGTCCTCAACCGGAAATTAACTTTACCAACCAAGAAAACATAGGAATTTATCGGCAGCATTGCTCTCACTGGCTTCAAGAAGCAAAGTTATAAATAAATGGAACTTGGTCAAATAGTCAAATTATACATTCCTCACTTCAAAAAAGAAAGATATTACTTGGTCTACCAAATTTCTTCTTTTATTGACTTTACTTTGCTAAATATCACTGATAGAGATAAAAGAGAAAGTATTAAATCTGAAATAACTCAACATAAGTTAAGAACAGAAATTACTCCTGGTATTATTTCCCTCGTTAATTTAAACACTGAGATTCTAATTAATGATGAATTATTATATGAATTAATTGATAAATTGCCACAACAAAATAAAAACGGGGATCCATTACCCAGTATTTCTAGGGAAGAGCGGGTTGAAATAATCAAAGGTGTTAAAGATTGTTTCAGTAACAAGAAATTTCGTGGTAATAGATATAAGGTGAGAGTTGAATAAAAGCAAAAGTTCTCAATGTCCTAATTTTCTCTAAAATTATCTTATATATGACTGAAATTAATTCACAAATCGAAGCCCAAATCTGAAAAGCCAAAGCCGAAACTTGAGAGCAGGCTTTTAAACTAGTAATAAATAAACAAGAACCAATTCCCGAAACTGGAAAATCTGCTAATCTAACTAATTTACAGGAAGAACAAAAAGTAATTGATTTTATTGATAAAGAAATCACTCCCCAAGCCGAAAGTGGTGAAGTCGGAGCCAAAGGAATTTGAGTAGAAATGTTTATTAATTGGTTAAAACCATTAGCCATCGAATTAGCCGGTAGTGCCTTAGAGTATTTGTTCGAAAAAGGCACTGAATGAGCCATTGATGGAGCTAATTTTGCCCTATTAAGATTACAAGACTTTTTATATGATAAATATCTACTGGCTAACGATAAACAAAAAGAGATATTTAAAACAAAGATTTTAGAGAAATTCCCCGAGAGTGGTTTGGCTAGTAAGTTGAAGAATGAATAGTTAATAATATGGATATAGGCTGCACATTAGGAATTACTGCCGTAGCATTAGGACTATCAGCCATGTTTTACGGCTATAAACTAAAAACCGATAAAAAGAGTGTAGTATTAGAGAAAAACGACCAAGAACACGAAAAAAAGCACCACCATAACGAGGAACGCATTAAGGAATTAGAGAAAAAGAACGGAGCCGAACAGAAGCAGATAGACGACTTAAAAGAAAAATTAGAAGAAGTAAGGAAAGACAAAGGGGAGTTAAAGGATTTAGTTATTAAATTACAGGATAGAATAATAAACTGTGAAAAAAACGGACATGCCCCAATTCAAGGAGGAATACCAACCCCCCACCCCCACCAATGAAAGACGGAATAAAAAAACCACCGCACCAGCAATTTAATAAGCAAAAACCTCCCCAAAAAGGAGGGTGGAATGAAATCCATGAGGCCATTAAAAAACACCGCAAAGATTTAGGTGAGGACAACGAAAATAACTAAAATGGACGAGGAACCACCCACCACTAAAAGAACTTGATGACAAAAATATAAGGAGGATATTTTAATTTGAACTTCGATTGGTTCTTTTATCCTCTCTTTACTTCATTTTTTAATATCGGTCATTAAATACTTAAAAAAATAAATATATAAAGCAAAAGTGTAAAATTATAAATATATGTAGTAATGCAAGTTTGAAACTTGTTATTTTTGAAAATTGAAGGATTAGTTTTTGAGGAAATTGTTATTAAAGTAAGATATTAATATAATACTCTTTATATTTATTATTTTTAATTCTTTTTTTACACTTTAGTTTTTTTTGGTAATGTTTTAATTCATGAAAAAGTGCCTTAAATTGGTTTATAATTATATTAAAACACGCCATTCCCTAATTACTAAAATAAAAACATATACTAATGAAGAATTAACTTTTTTTGTTACACTAGATAAACTAACCGATGAACTAATTCTCCAAGAAGGAGGACTAATTAGTTTAAAAATCCCTAAACAATGACAAAAACCCTGCTCTGTGAGTTTGTTATTTGCCAACTAACTCACTAGGAATTGTTTATATTAGCCTTTATCCCCTGGAATTAATAATTAAGAAAAAGAATAAAAGAAAGTGAGGAGAAAGAAGACCAAGAACTAGAATTGATTGACCAGCAACAAAAAGAGGACAATTTTCTCACTTATAAAGGAGCCTTGGAGCCTAATGGTAAAAATGACAAAGAAAGGTTTTATCGTTGCAGATTAAAATTACAAAAAAAGAAAAAAAAGAAAGAAGTTAAAAGTGATGGCGGAGCAGGAATAGTAATTTTTTTAATAGTAATAGTGTTTGTAATCATCGGGATTGCTGTTGCCTCAGGAGGCTTTAAATAAAGGTAGTTAATTAGACCATCTTTGTTTATTATTAATTTCGCCCATCGTTTTAACTTTATTTCTAATTCGACTGATAAACGTATTTAAAAATTATCTTTAATTATTCTCTTAATTGCTTGATGAGTTTTTTCTAATTTATCCTCTTCTTGGTGATAAATAAGTATGTAGCCATCCGGCTGAAC